TCGTAATGGGCATAGCGACACAGACGAACCGAAAGATAGAAATCTTTTTCTGTGCTCCGCGTAGCCAATACGCAAAACTACTCTATCTTCGAATCCAAGGAAACTCTATGTTCGAACTCTGGGTTTGGGAATTCGAACCTGGTGAAGAAACTCTATTTTGGAAACCTTGAGCCGCAAGCCCTAAACCCCTAAACCCCAATTAATGCAGAATTTTGAACATTCTGAACCCAGATCGACAAAAGAGGATTCTACCCTCTAACCCACTTTCGACTTTGAGCTCAAGTTGAACTCCAAAGCTTGAGTTCGAACTTGGGTTTTGAGTCTGTGTTCGAAGAGCGGAACCTCTTTGCTTGAAACCGGGCTTGACTAGACCTTCTACGGCTGTAGCACTCGGCCCCACAAACAAGCGAAGCAAACACAAACTACAATCAAAAACTACAAACTGGCAATGGTGAGACAGAAAAGCGAAGCTCTACAAGGGCCAAGCGCGTATCTTTGTACAAAGCCGCCTAATAAAAAGGTTCCTCGAGCCCTGGAATGAAAAAAAAAAATTGTAAATCCAGCACCAAACATGACTTCACGGGTGTTCGCTTCCGAGAATTTGTGGGCACGCCTCATCGACTGCGTCTTTCTCGCTCCCTACAAGCTCAGCTAGCAAAGAAAATTCCAAGTGAAAACAAGCTCCTCACGGAGATTCCAACCATCTGTGGTAGCGGCAACACGCAAGCGCATCAGACAGCAGGCCAGCCGACTGGATGCCTGCAGACCCCAGGGAGGCATTCTCCAGCGGAAGCAGAAGCCGGAACGTGCCTTTGTAGATTCCAGGGTACAAGAAGAGCAGAGGATCGAAATCGCCTCACCTGGCAGGTTAAAGCCCGCTCTGGAAGCACGCCATCAACCGAGCAGCAATGGCAATCTGTGGCTGGCCCACCACAGGCGGGCACCTCGCACTTAAAAAGTACCTCAATAAATTGACCGTTATGCTGTACCGCTGGTGCGATTCTCCCCCGTTGGACGCTTGGCGGCCGCGCCAGCATTCCGGCGGCTGGTTGGCAGGCCATCTCGTTTGGGCACTAATGACATTTGAATTGAGCTCCCGTCACGAACAAGTGATTTCACTGGCGAGCGACATTTTTAGCCCTGCAAGCTCGTTGTTGCGGGCTGATCTACCAACCCTTTCATTCCATGTGGCACTCGGCTCTCGGGGGTTGATGCGGCGCAACTTTGGCTGCGGGGCTCGCCGTCAATGCGGGTCTTCTTGAGCAGGTATCATAGAGGGCGCGCGGCAAGCCCGTTGTGGCAACGAGCGGCAAAAGGGCGGCTGTCCCCCAGGGCTGCCAAGAAGTTCAGACACAAACGCTGGAGCCGCAAGAGCAATGCTGCATTGATTGTGTTCGAAGCAATAGCGTAGAGGTTGAAAGTGCCTGGTACAGAGCTACCAGAAGGTGTGCGTCATCCATTCGACCACGGCAGACGGTCGCCTCCGCACTAACGAACTCCAGTGGCCCAAAGATGGTGTCAAGGACCGGGATGAAAGGGACGAGCCGTGATCATACGCCCACTGGGCCCGCTGCTAAAGTCCGCACCGCGGAGCAGCAGCTGAACAGGGTCGCCTTCCTGCCAGAGTGTGCCACTACCGCGCAGGCATCACTTATCGCTGTTGACCGACCAGCCCATGGGTCCTGTAGAGGGTCTCCCAGCTGATGAAGGTTTCGTGGATCGTCGCGTGGAGCTCCAAAGCGACGGTACCCACCAATGAGAGGGAGATGCCAAAATCAAAGGTCCAGGGCATCGCTGCCCCTATGGCCTCAAGGCCTTGGGCTTGCAGCGCTGTCTGAGCCGACGCAAGTATTGCGCAAGAGTACGGGATGAAGTGGGTTCGACCTTGGCGAAATACTCGGCAGCCGCGGCGGTCGCGCAAATCCTCCTCGGGCGCGGAGAAATCTTGAGTAAAAACCAATGCTTTTGCCGGCCTCTGTGGCTGCACAGGGCCACGGGGAACCCTGCTCCGGCTGGCCACCGGACACCGATGACCCCAAGGACATGAGAGAGACGTCGGTGTCATCCCTGCCCTCCACCAGGATGAGGGCGCTGACGTGCTGAAAGGCTCAGATGTCGTACTTGTCGCTGTCACTGTCGTCGTGGTAGGCGCAGGCGATGTCGTAGAATGCGAAAGCGAAGTCGTAGTGGTGGGTGCAAGCGGGGTCGTGGTGGTGGGTGTGGGTAATGTCGTGGTGCTAACTGGCTCGACAGATGTTGTGGAGGCTGTGGCGATCGTCGTAGTTGTCGTCTTCGGACCATAGCGGTGGTAGTAGCGGCTGTAGTGGTAGTGGTATGGACGGTAGTGTGCATTTCTGCGATGTCGCCCCCACCACCACGGTATCTTTGCGGTTGGCATCGCCTGCAGATCCTGTGCTGCATCTTTCCCTCGCCAGGTTTGCAAGAAGGCAGGGTCTTCTGATTCATTGGCGTGCGTTGGACATGCTTCTCGAACCTCGCAAGTCGTATCCTCGGCGAGAACGACAACGAACGTGAGAATCGCTCGGCATGCCATTGTCAGCATGCTACCGAGCCGCAAGGCGAAGCTGGTACTCTGGTACTCGCTTTTGGAGTTAGCCAGAAGACTAGCGGGACTAGCGCGCTGATCGCGATCTGCTCTGGAACCAAGGCTGCAAAACACAACCCAGCTTAAGCGTGTCCTCACTGAAGGCATCGAAGTTCAGACTATTCTTCTCTTGTCCAACATAGTCTCGCGTCTGCATTGCTCTCACGGTGATTCTGACCAGCCGTCATTTTACCTGCACCGGCAGGTGAACAGGCACCACCCGGAGCGTGTCGTGGCTGTCATCTCTCCGACCAGCCACACTGTCACCGACCATGGGAATTCTGTTGAAGCGACAGTCCCAGATTTCCTCATGACCAGCTCTGACATTCCGAAATAAATCGGAATCGTTTCGTATGGGTGGTTTGGAAAAGATCTTCATTGATTGTCCGTGAAGTTGTCAATGTGCGCGTAATATATCTATACCTGTATACAGAACAATACGGGTTCTTACAGCACAATGTGCAGTCTAGTATGATTTTCCCACCCGCCCAGCTGACAAAGTCGCACCGCAGGGAGCTCGTCTGAAACTACTCACCACCCACTCATGCAAGTCCTGGGGCAATGCGCAATCCCCCGGCAGTCACCCGGCAGTCAGACGGACCAACAACAAGTGTACACCCATAAGTCTAGTATGATAGAATACAATAAGAACAGTGTAACATACTGACATTTAACATCACATGTTATGATACTGTTTTATGTAGCATAATATAATGTAATACCGGATGCGATTAAGATAAAAACACAATAGAACCATCGTATGTTATGTAATGTTATATCATGTTACATAATGTCGTATTTGTATATTGCATAAGCATTGTCCGTGTCAATATGTATGTGTGCATGTATGCATTTACATCTGTATCTATTTATAGAGCTATCTGTATATACACACCTGTATGTGAAAAATACAATACATAGGTATGTAGATACACATACCTGAATATGCCAAATCATTACATATATAATACAGGTGGCTTTTATGTACATATATGTTGGTATGCATCTGTGTGTACGTACAATATGTGTGTGTGTGCCTGTGCATGCACAAACTTGCATCCTCATCCGTCCATCAACCCACCCACCCACCCAGGTATGCAGCATGCCATATGCATCCATCCATACACATGTACTGGCAGACAGGCCGACAAACAGACAGACCGACAGACAGATGCATTTTATCTGGTGCTGCAGCTTGTATAGTTGTATGTGCGCAGGCGGTTCCCGGGCAAGACCTGGACCTCCATCGCCATTCTTTGCAATCCCAAAATGGGACTCCATCGGGATCTGCTGAACTTGAAAGGCCATCCCAATCACGCGATAACTTTGGGTTCATTCACGGGAGGCCGCGTTTGGGTGGAAAATGAACTCGGGGACTCACCGGCAGAACTGCAAATGAAAACAAAAACGAGAGCTCTCATCGGAAGGTGGCACGACATACATGACAAACCCATCACTTTCGACGCGCGACGGTTTCATCAGGTCGAACCGCACGAGGGTCACATGTGGGCACTGGCCGCCTACACTCCCCAAGCATTCAAGTGGCTAAACGACGAAAATGCCAGCAGACTTTCATCGCTGGGCTTCCCGCTGCCTCCCAGAAATTTTTGTTGTTCCTATTAGAAAAGAGCCGGACGATCCAAGCGAATGAACCGGAACAGCTGGCTTCCAACCATTCATCATGGAAATTCAGGCAAAGGTATTGGAAGTTTTCATCCTTCATTCCGCAAAGAAGCCGCTCGAAAGGATGTCAAACTTGCAGCGTCTCTCCTTGCATCGCTTGCAACAGCTGCGCAAACGATTTCTTCACGAAGAGCAAAAAGTGGTGCTTTCTGGCTACCACCTGCCGAGCTCATTTCCAAATGATTCGCATTCCCGGCGGTCCATACCCGAAATGGCAAACTGACTTGGAGAAATGGATCGGCAGCGTCGATGCCATCCGCTGTGAGGTCTTCGATCTGGTCGATTCTCATAAATCCGATCTCGCACAAACTTTGAGCGCCGAAGATCTCTATTACGGCTTCTCCCATTTGCAAGGCTTCGAAGCTGCTGTGAGTCAGCTTCTTCAGCACGCCGTTTTTGGGACGCTAAAAATCACAAACTAGTCCCATAAGGCTTTATAACCTTTTTGGTAGGTTTCGAAAGTTTTGAAGAAGTTTTTCGAAACCGCTTCATGTGTCATGAGATTCCATTTGAACTTTTATGAATCCTTGTTGTTCCGCGCATGCTCAAACTAGGGTGGGTGGGCGGGAACCTTCCGTGCAGCAAAGTTTGTACGGGGGGTAAGAGAGAGTTGTGTAGAACACGGGCTCCGGGCCAAGCTGTGTGAAACAGGTTTCAGGCCCGAGAACCCTTGGTGTACCGCCTTAGTGGCACATGGGCAGCCTCTCTTGCGATGGCAGAGAAGAGGACGTTTGATGCTGCATTCGAGGGGCATCTTGCTCATGTTGTGCACCAGAATTCTACGAGCAACTCAAAGCAGCCATGGGAGAGAAGCATCGTGAATGTGCCGAGTGTCTTGCCGAGTGCGTTTCTGGGAAAGGGTCGTCTTGGGAATGTGCTTACTCATACGGCTGCTGCTTCTGTGAAAGCTCCGAGTGGCCCGTCGGCTATAAATCTGACTGCTACTGGAGGCAAGCTGCCTAAGAAGATTGGGCCTTCTTGGGTTCAGAGACAATCGGATAACAGACATGCGGCTGTCATGAAGTGGCTACGGATTGCCAAAGAGGGTGGAGACTTCTTCGGGATCTGTGCTAGAGTGGCGGAAGATGCTGAGGCTGGGTTGCCGGCCTCCCTACAGGAGGCTCTAGGAGATGTTTTCTCACTCAAGGCGAGCAGTACACTTCACAGCAGGGCTGGCCCGGTCCTAAGATATATGGCATTCTGCTGGCGCATCAGAGAGCAGCCCTTCCCTTTGTCTGAACAGAAGATGTACCGCTTCGTCAAAGAATATTGCAGTGGGGCTGCACCTACCTTTGCCTCCAGCTTTATGAGTTCCGTTGGCTTCATGCAATATGTCTTGGAGGCGAAGGTCTCGGACGATTGTGTTAGCAGCAGGCTGGCTGGCGCAGTTTCGAAGCTCTACTTGGAGAAGAGAAAGCTGCAGCAGAAGCCGCCGTTGACGGCTTCACAGATTCGGGCTTTGGAGCGGATTGTGCTGGGACTCATGCCTGAAGTCCGCACAGATGTCGATCGATACGCGGCAGGGTGCTTTTTATATTGTGTGTTTGCAAGAGCCCGCTATTCGGACATGCAGTGTTCTGGTGAGCTGGCTAAAGACATCGTGCAAGGCGAAGACGGACCGCGTGGGTACCTTGAGGCGAGGGTCACCAGGAGTAAAACGAGCCACAACCTGGAACGCAAAACCCGATATCTTGCTATGGTCAGTCCAATATGGGGCCTCGAGCAGGATTCTTGGGCGATGGCTTGGATGGAGGTGGCTGGCAGGGCGGGGCCCGCATGGGGACCTGACATGCCCCTGCTACCGTCTCCCGCGGAGGGCGGCCAATGGCAGAAGGCGCCTATGTCTGCGCAAGCAGGAGCGCGGTGGCTTCGCCACCTTCTCTATCGTGCAGGCGAGGATGTCTCGCTGGTCAAGGCCGTGGGCACTCACTCCTGCAAAGCTACGCTTTTATCATGGATGTCCAAGTGGGGAGCTACTAAGGAAATCAGGTCGATACTCGGATACCATTCTAGTGCCAACGCCGGCACGGATGTTATCTATGCGAGGGACAGCGTCTCCCCTGCATTGCGTGAGTTGGAGGAAATGGTTTCTGCTGTCGCTTACAGGCGTTTCTTCCCGGACGCCACGCGCTCGGGCATGTTTGTGGAATCTTTGGCTGCCAGGGGAGATGCTCATGACAAGGCCGAGGTCGGTTCAGATTCTTCTTCCGACAGGAGCGATGACGAGGAGGAACCGGACACCCTCGAGGAGGAGAAGGTGGTTGAGGACAGTGTCGGCGATTTTGAGCCGAGCGGTTGCCTTCGAGAAAACCTGGAGGGCAAGACGGTTTTTCGGCATGTCACCACCCGCTTCATACACTTAGTCGCTTCTGAGGAGGGCACAACTTTTAAGTGTGGCAGGCAGATCACATCGTCCTACTTGGAGTGCAATGCGACACCCAGGTTTTTGCATCCGATCTGCCGGCAGTGCTTTCCAGAGGCGAGGTGAGGGATCGTAGGCTGGCTGGCCGGAGTGCCGCCACGCGAACTTTTGTGAGCCTCTCATAGCGAGAGCCCGCGAAGGCGGGATGAATATGCGCACGGAATACAAGGAACGCTGTGCTCGGCATTGCAGTGGTCTCAAGAGCCCGGAGTCGCAAATGCCGCCTTGTGATTTCAAGTGAGGGTCGCTCGAGCTACTTTGGAGTTAGACCCGTACTGAAGGAGTGAGCCATGGCTTCCGCATACTCGGAGTCCGAGCCGGTTCTGGTGTCGCGTCTCTCAAAGGCGGGGTTTGATCAGGCTGAGCGCGATCTCATCCTGAAGCACGTTAAGAGCTTGAAGCAGTTGGCCTTCGTGAGTTCTTTTGCCCCGGGGGCTGCGGACGAAGGCCCGTTGATCGAGGCCCTTAAGACGATGCTTGGAAAAGACCCAGAGATGAGTCAGAAGGCGGCCTTCAGAGCCGTGTTTCATGAGGCCTATGCCATTGTCACTTCGGAGATGCGACAGCAGGTCGAGAGGGTCGAGGAACCGACAGTTCGTCACTTGAGTCAGCCCGAGAGGGCTGAGAGGATTGAGCGCCAGCGTTCACAGTTGACTGGCATCACGATAAAAGGTTCCTCTGAACCATCAGAGGCCTTGGTCGACCTGTGCGTCGGTCAGTACGAGGCCAATGTGATTCAGTATGTTCCTTGGTCTAAGTGCACGTCGCGGGAACAAGAACTCCTGGGCGAAGGTAAGAAAGACCTGAAGCTTTCGATTGACGGCGAGAGTGGTAAACTTAAGGTGGAAAACAAGGCCAAAGATCAGGTGGCCGATACATCCACTGAAGTGATGCTTCTGCAGGCCCTGCAGCGACGTGCTCTCGCATTCGATCAAGCTAACATTGTTTCTTTCACAAAGCTTGACATGTGGCATCAGAAGTTGATGAAGGCGAGGTTGACTCCGCCTCCGCCGGGCTACCAGCAAGTCACCTTCACGCAGTTGCAGAATGCAGACTCGAGGCTCTTTTTGGAGCTTCAGGACCAGACGCGCACAGGCATTCAGTCGGATGCCAAAGGTCGTCCGATCGATGGCATCATAGATTCAGTCAGTTGCATGCATGAGGTGGTGTCATTGATGCAGCCGCTGCAAGGGGGCCCTTCGTCTTCGTACGGTCCCAGTGAGCCTGCTCGACTGAGGGAGTCACCGTATAAAGGCAAAGGCAAGGGCAAAGATGGCAAAGGAAAGAAGCGCTTCATTGCCATGCCAAGCGAGCTTCGTGGGTGCAATTCGCACACCGCGAAAGGACACCCGATCTGCTATGCCTTTAACCTGGGGTCATGCCCGAATAAGGTGACTGGCAATAAATGTGAGAGGGGATTGCACATCTGTGCAGTCCCCAAGTGCGGCATGAACCACGCCGCTGTCAAGTGTCCCAAGAAGCCGAAAGATGGCGAGCAGGCGGGCGCTTGACTATCAAGTGCGATCCCGGCCCCGAGTGTGCAAGTGTCGGTGGCCGGGTCTGGGAGTGGCGAAGGCCATTCTCGAGCAATCCAGGAAGTGCTTAAGGCCCATCCCGAAGGGGATGAGCCTCTTTTGAGTGCGCCCGAAGGGGCCCAAGCGATGCCATTTGAAGAGCTGGGATCGAAGCCACTCGATCCGAAGGTTCATGCGGACTCTTATGCCGAGGAGCTTCTGGCTCTGGACAGGGATCCCACGGCCCAGGAGTTAATTCACTTGTTTGACGTGCTTCCTCAGGAGCCGCTTTTGAGCAGGTCTCGTGATGATGGAGCCGCGGCCTTCTCGACTGGTGCCTATGTGAAGGGGCCTCTGCTCGGTCTCAGGAGTAACTGCAGCAAACATCCGGCGGCTTCAAAGATTTTCGCTCAGGCAGTGCAACGCGCTGCCCCGGGAATGCCATTTTCTACTCTGAGTGTGTTTTCAGACCTTAAGACGGAGCCTCATGTCGACCGCTTCAACTCTCCTTTTCCCAACATTCTTGTGCCGCTCAGCAATTTTCGGAAAGGAGAGGTCTGGGTCGAGTCAGCTCAGGGCGATTTTCCTTGTGAGGTCGATGGTGCTACGAAGCGCGGCATCTTGATCGACGTTGCCTCCGGACCGAAGGCTTTCTATGCTTGCAGCCATGTGCACGCTACACGGCCGTGGAGCGGCCGACGCGTAATCATAGTTGGATTTTGCATCGCTAGGGTTCAGGAGCTTGACGTGGACTGTAGGGCGCGCTTAGCTGAGCTTGATTTCCCTGTGCCCAAGACGGCGCCCAACTTCAGTCCAGATTTGATCGAGGTCAGGGGTACCTTCCATGATCTCAGAAGTTCTCAGGTGGATGAGGCGTGTGATGCCCTCCCGGCTCAACTGCAAGCCGTCTCTTTGCTGTGCCTTGACCTCTTCTGCAATGCAGGCGAGTTTGGGGCCTCCCTGAAAGCAGCCGGATTCGATGTGCTCGCGGTCGAACAACCGCACCTAAAGCAGAGAGCTCTGATCAGCGTTGTGTCGTTGGATCTTAGGAAGGCTGCCTCTTGGGATTTCCTAGTTAAGGTTGTGCTCGCTAGGAGGGTCGTCTTTGTGCTTGCTGCCCCCACTGTGGCCGCCTCTGCGAGCGAGCTCCCCGAAGGCTTTGCCCAGGTGGCTTCCGAACTCAGCTCTTTCTTGGCCTTGCTTGCCACTCTTGACATCGGCTGGGGAGTCTTGAATCCGCTAAGCAGCCGGCTGTGGCCGACGTTGACGCTGCCTGCCTCGCGCGTCGTGAAGTTCGACATGCGTGCCCATGGTGGCGAGCAGCACCGCCAGATGCTATTGCACACTAACGTCCAGACTTTAAGCGCCCTTGCTGTGCCGTGCGACGACCCTCAGCCGCCTCCTAAAACTTTCAGGTCAGTGACTTCCCTGCGGGATAGGCCGCGTTTGTTGTGCAGCCGGCTAGCCGCCCAGATAGTCGTTTTCGCGGGTACCCTAGGGTTTGCTGTGTCTCCTGATGCCGTCAAGCTGTCGGCCAATCATCGGTCGTCCATTGCGGTGCAACGCCAGCCCAAGGTCTCCAAGGCGCCGCCGCTCATGCCTGAATACAAGCATCGGGTCACTTTGCAGGTCCCATCTATGGATGCTCTCCGGTGTGATGACAAAAATTGCTTGACGGCCGCTTTTCAATCGGTGCCTGTCGGTGCCCGCATCCTTCAGGTGGTGCCTGTGCAAGGGGGCGAGGGTCCTTCAGGTTCGGGCTTTAGGGTTACTTTTGGGGTTTACAGGACCGAGGAGGAGTTCGTCAGGACGGCAGTCACTCTGTCCCATCCTTTCGACTTGTCTTCGGCAGTGCCGGATGAGATGCTTGAGATTCTTGCGTTCACTCTCACCAAAGGGCCGTTGGCTGTCATGAGGCATCGCTTGGACACCTTGACGAAATGGAAAAAGTGGTCTCAGGAACTTCGTGGAGCAGAGGCCTCCTTGCACGCGAGGCTTCACCCAGATGTCGAGAAGATAGTTGCACGCAAGAACTTGACTCTCCTGCGACGTGTGGCTGAAGACTTGCAGTGGCCTGATGCCACGATAATCGACGACATCGAGAATGGCTTTGAGCTTGTGGGTGAGGCCAAGGTTACAGGCATCTTCGAGGTGGATCCGAAACCCTCTTCGATGTCCGTGGACGAATTGCTTGAGCATGCAAAGTTCTTGAAGCCAGCCCTGTGGGGCAAGGTGTCAGGCGATGCGAGCCACCCGGATGATCAGGAGCTCTGGGATCTCACTTGTGCTGAGGCCGATGAGAAAGGCTGGCTGCATGGGCCCTACACGTGGGAACAACTGCAGAACATGTTTGACTCCAAGTGGATACCTGTGCGCAGATTCTCCATCAGGCAAAAGAACAAATTGCGGCCCATCGACGACCTGTCCGAGATTGACGGCCCACGACTTCAGCATGATGTACAAGAATGGTGCGCACACATATTTACTCAGGTGATGCCGCGGTTTTTGTGTGGATCATGGCATGCGAGACTACTCAGTCTGGACCTCAGCGACAGTGCGCACACTTATTCGCCCATTTGGATGACGCTACCTTCGCATTTACAGGAGTGTACTTTACAAACAGTGGTGGACCAGTGGTGTGCTCAGGATGCTATACATGCATTGTGCGAGCCTCCTGAGGTATTGTGCATATGCCTCGCAAGGTTCGGTCATGCTGATGGTGAGGCCTTTAAGCTCACGATGCCGGTGAGCTTACAATGCTTGTCCATCATGATTCCCTGCTTTCTGTGTGAGAACAGTCTGGAAACACGTAGTTGTTCATACACTGTCATCGGTGCTATTTCTCACTATGGTCGGACTGTCATTTCTGGGCATTACAGGGCTATGCTTTACAGTGCATCGGAGTCATGTTGGTACATCACGGATGACGGCTCTCGGGCCAAAAAGGCCAAACATGGAGACATGCAACATCTTTTCAGAAATGCTTACTTGATTTGGCTGAGAGCGGCTGTCTGACACAGTTTACGGCTCACTGGCAAGTGCGGGTGTACAATCCTCGCTGGACGCAGGAGGTTGTGCATGCTGTCGGGGTAGTGGCATTGCCACTCCTACGGGCACTCGTGCTCTCTGCCGCATGTCGCGCCGGACGCGGTGCGCATGCTGAGTGTCGGAGCTGTTAGGGTAGGGGTAGGTTGACTGTAACAACTAGCTCAGTCTTCCTGTGGGAGTTTTTACACTCGTTGTAGTCTCGTACAGTTGTTTTCTCGCGCATGGTTTCGGACATAGAGTCGTGAAGCTTATGTGCTTGCTTGGCGCTTCGGCGCGGGGCACTTTTGTTAGGTGCTTGCTTAGCTCTTCGAAGCGAGGCACCAGCCGTGCAACCACAGAGTTGCCGCACAAAGGAGTGTGTGTAGGCTTACGCCAGGCGACCTACTGGACGCTGCGCAGTCAAAAAAAATGCCGTCAATCAAGCTTGGACAGTGATGGAAAGGATAGGTTTGCGCGCGCTTGATGAAATCACTTGGGCCTGCATGGCTTTGATGAGGGCCAGCTTGGGCCGACGCGAGGTTTTCTTCCGGAAGTCCGATGGCTCAGTTTTGTCTGGTCCTTTGCATTCGTACTGGCGACAAGACACTCGCCGGTGCTCGCCGGTCTTGAAGACTACGGATCTGCGCTCAGCTTATAAACAGTTTGCTATCCGGCCTGAACACCATCGGATGTGCGTGGTGACCTTGAAGGATCCAGCTGACGGCTTGACAAAGGGGTTCATCTGCCGCGTGTTGCCGTTCGGGGCTTTGGCTTCGGTCGGGCAGTTCAACAGGTTCTCGAGGCTGTGGCAAAGGATTCTCTGGGAGCTGAAGCTCGCTGCGGCGAGCTATTTCGACGATTTTCCGTCGGTGGAGGTCAGGGCCCTTGCCGAGAACCATGACTCCTCCGTGAAGGCAGCGTTGCGACTTTTTGGAGTTGACTGGGCGAGCGACAAGGACCTTCCCTTCTCACAGACGGCCGACGTCTTGGGCGTCCGACTGGATGCGACTGACACGGAGGGCGGAGTGCTGAGGGTCAAAAACAAGCCTGAGAGATCCAAGGAGATTGCCTCTTCGATCGACAAGATCCTTGCGGATGGCTGTATTGATCCAAAGCAGATCCCTTCTTTGTTTGGCCGGATACAGTTTTCGGAAAGTCAGTTGATGGGCCGACAGGGGCGCTTGGCTCTGGCTCAGATTCGCTGGCTTTCGAGTGCTCGTCACCGTCACGTGCTATCTTCTTTGGATGCTACTGTCTTCAGAAGCTTGAGGGAGAGGATGCTTGAGGGCCGGCCGCGCGAGCTCCAGGCTCTTCCCGTTGGTGGCCTGACTCTCGTCTTCACTGATGGTGCATGCGACAAGCTGGGCGACAAGTTTAGCTGCTCGATCGGAGGTGTCATGTATCGGGTGCTTCCAACTGGTTCCTATGAGACGAGGGCGTTCGGGTGCTACTTGGACGAATCGATCGTCGAGCAATGGGCGGGACTGGGCAAGAGACACTTGATAGGTCCCACCGAGCTTTTCGCGGTGGTGGCGGCCCGACATGTCTGGAAAGATTTTCTGAATGATCAGAGGGTCGTCTTTTACGTGGACCACAGTGGAGTTTTGTCGGCGATGATCAAAGGGTCTTCACGTGATGATCTCTGGAGGAGCATTTTGCTTCACTACGAGTGTGCCGACTCGCTGGGGCCGGCGATCTCGTGGTTCGCTCGAGTCCCAAGCAAGTCGAACCCAAGCGATGGGCCTTCGAGGTCCGACTGGAGGTTCCCTGTGTTAGGCGAGTACTTTGAAGATCGGATTGTGTGCTTCATCAGCGGCAGAGTTCTCAAAGTCACGGGGCAAAGAGTGCAGGGGTGAAAGATGCCCCATAACTTTTCTACGAGCCCGGAGGGGCTGTTGGCGAAGTGCCAACATTGTTGGATCCCGAGGGGGATCATGAGCATGCACTTCTTTCCCCGAGAGGCTTTGCCATACCGAAAGAAAAGATTCTGTCTTGCGTACTTTGTCCGAGTGCTGCTATTTCTTGAGGCTCGTAAGCTCTCTAACAGGTCTCATTTCCACTTTTATATATATGCGATCGAAAGACATATTTGAGTGGACTTAAAGAAAGGCCCGCATGACACATGAAGCCACATTGGTTATAAGCCGTTTTTGGGACGCTAAAAATCACAAACTAGTCCCATAAGGCTTTATAACCTTTTTGGTAGGTTTCGAAAGTTTTGAAGAAGTTTTTCGAAACCGCTTCATGTGTCATGAGATTCCATTTGAACTTTTATGAATCCTTGTTGTTCCGCGCATGCTCAAACTAGGGTGGGTGGGCGGGAACCTTCCGTGCAGCAAAGTTTGTACCCACCACTCCCACCCAAACTTTGCGGGGTGAAAGATGCCCCATAACTTTTCTACGAGCCCGGAGGGGCTGTTGGCGAAGTGCCAACATTGTTGGATCCCGAGGGGGATCATGAGCATGCACTTCTTTCCCCGAGAGGCTTTGCCATACCGAAAGAAAAGATTCTGTCTTGCGTACTTTGTCCGAGTGCTGCTATTTCTTGAGGCTCGTAAGCTCTCTAACAGGTCTCATTTCCACTTTTATATATATGCGATCGAAAGACATATTTGAGTGGACTTAAAGAAAGGCCCGCATGACACATGAAGCCACATTGGTTATAACATCGCTTGATGAACGACACTGACTCGGAAACGAGCGAATCATCATTTTTTTTGGCGTGGGCGGGCCTCGACGACTACAGCTGTAGCACTCGGTTCCAGTAAGAAACAAACAAGCAAAGCAGAAAGACAACACTGTACAAAACGATCCTAATGGGTGAAACTGGTCGCGACTTGCAGACTTAGCCGGCAGGGATCGTTCGACCTTTCTAGATAAAGCTTCCCTCAGTTGACCTTGTCCGCCTCAGCAACCAACCGCACGTGAGCGGGTGATCAGGAAGCCGCGCGGATGGGCGCACTCCTGTCTTGCTGTTCGAGTAAAGCAGCCTTCAATACAAAAGAAGCGGAAGAAGGCCGAGAGCCCATTGCCGTTCACAAATCAACCTGACAGATGCAGTAGCAGGAAGACCCAGCTTCCCAAGAGTGGGCATCGCAAGGGTCAATCGCACCCAGCCCGGCGGTCAAGCCCAGCTTCCCACTAGGGTATCGCAAGGGCATGCACAAGAGTGCATTGCGATTGTACCTTCGAAGGAAGGACCGACAGCCAAGCCGGGCATGGCGCTCACTGCAGACATCGCAAGGGGTGGCAAATGATCTCGGCACCCGGATGAGCTCCCACATCTGAGAGGGGCGGAGGTTGTCACAACATTACCTCGTCTCACCTGTCGGTGTGAAGGATGACATAGAAGGCGCGCAGAACGTGTTGGTAGAGTCACCATGGGGCATACGGATGGGCCCAGCTTCCCTGGAGCGGGCATCGCAAGGGCTTCCTGAAAGACGTGAACAGCAAACACCATCCGCTTCCACCCAGAAGGCGCAGTCCAGTCAATCAGCTCGAGTACGCTTTCCCGAAGAGCAGCATCGCCGGGTTCACTTGGGGCTAGTGAACCGCACAGCCCAGCTTCCCATCCAGCGGGTTCGCAAGGGCACCACACAAGAAAAAACCCCGTCGCACCAAGCAATGAGGGCGGAGTGTTGTTGAGCCGTCCAGAACACATTCTGCTCCAACACTGCATCAATGCAGACAAGCACACACCCTAAGGAAAAGGTTTTGGAAGAGCCAGCGCAGCCCAGAATCCCAAGTGAGCTGCGCTTAGTGGCACGTGCCGCCAGGATGGCCGTGATGTGCCCTAAGAGGAGGCCGTCCGGGCTGGCCAGAAGGTCAGCGATGTGCCGACAAAAAGCCTCACCCATGAGGGCAGCCAAAGTATGTAACTCCGCGGGGATCAAGGCACGGGGGAGACGCCAGTCGGTGCTGAAAGGATCTCGCGGGTTGACGCGCACGGCCAGCTGATGAAGAGAGAGAATACTCTTTCGCAAAGTCACATACTGCGCCGACGTCATGTAGGGGCGCGAGCGAACTGCGGAGCATGAGCCGCGGCCTCCACTGCTTGCAAAAAAGACAATACCAGGTGTGTCTCCGCCGCAAAATGGCACTGACGTCGTGGCACAGGCTGGGTGGCGGGCATCTTGAGCACCTGTAGGTAAACATCAAGCGCCCCTCCCACCTTGACACAGGAAAGACTGCGCAATGTAAGATCCCATTGGTGAACACAGCCCTCGTGTGGCGCCGCCGAAGGACGCTGACAAGCAGGAGGGCCGTGGTGGGATTCAAGCGGTTTGACCGCCGTTGTGCTTTCTTTTGCTCCCGTGTTCTGCCACTGACTCGTGATGGGACAACCAACTCCACGAAGACCGCCAAGAGCTGCGTGCGTCGAAACTCGAGTTGCAGCAAGCAGCCTTCGGACGGAAGACAGTTACCACTCTGACGGTGGGAGAACCAGCCTGAATCTGGCGAGGGCTCCGGGGGGTTGGGGCACGGTTTGCCAAGCACGTATGTGCCAAAGCTGAGGCAGTCTCCACTTTCAGGACGACCTTGAGGGGCGTCGTGTAGGTCCGCTTAGTGTCGTGGTGCGACATCCGCCTGTTTTCTTGTTCTGTGTCCTCGAGCGCCGCCCCTGGCTGTAGACATGAAAGTGCAAAAATCCACTGCACAGGAAAAGGAGCTCGTCTCGGCGAGGGAGGCAGTGACTGAGGCAATGAAGCTGAGCCAGTGGAGCTTTGCCGTTGGTTCCAAGGCCCAGTCACCCAAAAAAAAGTCGTTCTGATTCTGTCTTCCAGTTTCTGAGCTGCACTTCTGGGCAAGTTTGCAGCCTGCGCGTTTGTGTAATTTTCTGGCAAGTCTGAATGTTGCAGCCAATTGTTTTACTTTGTACAAACTGCACTGGGACGGAGCGCAGCAGCTGCTGTCACCCGCCCACATGAAAAGAACGCTTGGATTCGCACCAGTCGAATTGTCTGCTGTTTTTCTCCAGAGTTTGTGTGGAACCGTTTCTTCGAGTCTGCGCATGTTCATGCATGAGGCTTCAAGGCTCTCGACTAGCAGCGCTGTGTTTAAGCCAACGCAAGCATTGCGCAGACCACCGACAGACGACAGATGTGGGAAGGAAACTGGTGAAGGAAGTCCAAATAGTTCCTAATCAACACTCCTGTACGAGTGTGGAGATACGGTGAGATTGCTGATTTGCACGGCAGTGGAGTCAACGGAGACGATTTGGACGTTTGAAGCATGTGGACGTTAGGCTGTGTCAACTGCAAGATTGGGTACGAGACAATCTTGGAAGCTTGGAACAGTAAAGACTGGACTTGAACACCAAGAAGTTGTCGTCTGCCAGAAGGTCATTTCTATTGTATCACTTGTCCCAAGTAGAGTATGCCGAAGATGGAAGCATCGAGTATACTGGAGAAAAGGAGTATGAAAAGTACGAACAGGAAAAGAAACTGAAAGAGTATCAAGAACTTGATCAGAGCAATACAGATTCTCCATTGGATGAAAACGACTCCTGCAGTTTGGCTCAAAGGAGAAGCAGAAGAAGCCAGTGTGTCCCTTGGAAAAAGGATTGACAGCATGGAAGGAAACCTCAGTAAGTTTGAAGTTGGGAGGATGGTGGGCGTGCTGTTGTTGACTACCCCGTACCTCATCACGCTGTGGAAGAAGTTGACGCGTGAGATTACCAACATAACTACCCGCCCACAAGTTCCCGCCCAAATGCAATTTGATATTGCATAAAAGATTACAAAAGTTTGATTCGGAAAACTCTGACATGAGACCGTTCGCACTGGCAAGAAGCGAGCAACATGACTGAATGCAATGCGCGGGCTCCACATGTTTTCACGCTGCCGTGCAACGACTGTCGAAAGAGTGCACGAAAGAGGAAGGAAGGAGAGGAGCATAGCCGATGCAATGCTCCGTCGTTCACGTGTTGTGCCAACTGCACCCCACGATTCGTAGAAACTCTCCCCTCTCAACGAGTGACAGTGGCACATCACTTCCAGGGATCCTTCTCGCGCAACCGTTCAGCTTTCTTAAGCTTGACTGCGGCTTTGGATGCCCGCTTCTCTTTCCACTCAGCAATCTCACCATACAATGCAGAGCCCGCTTGCAAAAGAGGCCTGAGAACCAGACCTTGGTATTCGGCAAATGAAAATCGTAGCCTCAACTTTGGATCGAACTGCTTGAAATCCCCGTTTGTCAGAGAGTCAGCCAGCATGTTCTGAAGGCGTGGTGCCCACGTGAGCTCGAGCATGCACGACTTCTCAAGGAGCACAGCAGTTAATTCCATCAAGACGGCCACCAATGGAAACGAAGTTGTGAGCCAACGCGAGACAATGTGCGAATTGCCCTTGTTGTCTGTCCCCGCTGAACAGACTGTTCGCGAAGGGCCCGCTCCCGTAGGGGCGAAGAGCAACACCGCCACCATGGTGGCCAGAAGTTCGAGGGAGGCTATGGATCGGTAAGACTCCCCCGCCATAAAGAAGAGAGGAGCGTCTTCAGGCTTAATCCGCTCGGCAAACCACCGGCACCGACGAGGATCGTCGGAGTCTGCACACGACCATCCGCCAATATGCATCTCCGGCCCCTCTGCTCTAGCGTCTGTCCTGAAGAGCTCCGGAGCCGCCTCAGACGAGTGTTGTGCAACCTTCGTCACCCTGAGACCCTTTAGCAACAGCGCCTCCACAAAAACCAGAACCAAGTCGACGGCCTTAGGGAGTCGCAGGGTGTGGCATTGCGATACAGCACTGGTCCAAGCGTACAGCGGCCCCAGGAAGGGTCTCAGCATCGGAAGGACCGTGAAAGCGAATGAAAGGCGGCCCAACACGGACTGCATGTTGGCCACTCGCACCATGCCGTC